ACTCTAGGCCGATGTTGCAAAACTCGCTATTTGGTACTCATTTGGTCGACTAGAGAGTAGCGAGTACTCAGCCTAGGTGGAAAGTATTTAGATATGATATTTATAGATATATGAAAAATCATATATTTCTTAATATTCATAACAAAGTATGTCAAATATCAAATACAAAAAGATACATGTTCGAATGTCAAACTAGTTTAAAAATGTAAACATTTAATCATGAAAGTCTTAAAGATGAGAATGAGAGTGATGGTGTATACAATTCGTTTATCTGGTATCTTACTTTAGTTTTAGGGTTAGTATGTTTGATAAAGTATAAAATATACATATCAATCCAAAAAATTCTTGATCTTTTCTCTTTTTAAGTCAATATTGACCATTTGACCGAGTTGGACCGAGTAGGTCGAGTTTGACCAAGTTGACCAGATTTAACCAAGTTGGTCCGAGTTTGACCGAGTTGGATCGAGTGGGTCCCAGTTGGACCGATCTTAACTGAATTTCAAGTTATTTAACCGAGTTGGCTTAACTTGCGTCAGTAAGAGGCTAAGTCCGAGTACTCATCCAAGTTGGTCGAGTTTTACAACACTAATCTAGACTACATTGTACTTAATAATATGCTTAAAATAACTTATTATAATGATAATTTATAAACAATACTTCTAGCTCTGAAATACTCTGAAATATTCGAAATGTCCAAAATGGAGGTTATTAGGAGTCTGAAATATGAATCTAACCTAAAATGTCCGAAATGTTATGTATATGGGGTACCACTACAGATGAGCGCATGACCCGAAGAGCTGGATAAAAAATTAATCGAAACCGATTCCAGACCAACCTGGAAGTACCTATAACTGAGTCGGTTCCCGGTTCCAATGTTTTGCATTTTTTTGGTTTTCTGGTAACAACCAGACCATACTTGAAAATCTTGAATAAAACCGGACCAGATCGGTGAAAAGTCCTTTTTTTAATGGACGTGAAGGTACGTGCCGACTCATTCCTACTACATTATGTTTTTTCACACATCCCTACCTTACTGTCGTTCGTTTTTTGATCATTCTATCCCTTTTGTTGGCACCGACAACAACACCAACAAAAAAGAAACCTAACAATAACTACTCATTCTTACTCTCAAATCTCGTCTATAGTGGACATTTTTCATTAAACCCTCTTAAATAAAAAAAAAAGAATTTTTGTAGTGCATTTTCAATGACAATTGTAAATTGGATTATTTCATCCATAGAAAACACTTAAAGCTCATAAAAAGATAAAAGTTGCTTTTAATAAAAAAAACATTTTTTTATAAATAGAGTACTTTTTATAAATAATGTATTTTTTATTTATAAAAGTGCAATTTTTTATAAAAAAGTGTTTTTTTAAAAAATATACATTTTTCTATAAATAATGTAGTTTTTTATAAAAAACTTGATGTTTTTTTATATACAACGCATTTTTTTATAAATAGTGTAATTTTTATTGTGTTTTAAATGTTAATAATGTTTGTATTTTATTGGTAGATATTTCATTTACATGTGATCCAAATAGAGTTTCGCAACAACCAATCTCCGTATGATAAAAGAGATCATAATGTTATTTGAAAACTTCAAATAAAAAACGAAGTTTTTGTCGGCTTCATCAAAAGCATCAGCACAAACTGTTATACGATAAATTTTAGATGTTGACCAACATCTAATAACGCGTTAAACAAAAGTATAACTTTATCATATGATCTCGGACACGAGTTTAAAATACGGCAAATATTGAGGTTCAATAAAAAATTTAAATTATTTCACGTGTTTTGATATATTGTTGGACCCCAATTTAAGTCCATCTTTTTGTTTCATGTCATCAAAAAAATGATCGAAAACACGATAACAAATGAAAATGAACACGAGAACAAATGAAAATGAAATGTTGGATTCGACCATAAGACTGCGGGTGATGTCTACGATGTAGGAAGTTGGGAAAAGAATGAAAAATTTATTTAAAACCTATGAAGAAAAATATGTAAATATAGGTTCGTTTCAAAAAGTAAAAGATTTCATAAGTTGTGATGTGGATAACGATTTTTTTTAACGTTTTCTTAGATGAGACACGTCGGTGACAATGAAAAGCGAGTTGGGAATACATTTAAATGAGCCTAAATTGACTTTCGATAAACCGACGTCATAGATTGGTGGAAAAAAAACACATTGTGTTTTCCCATCGTTGCTCAAACGATGAAAGATAAATTCTAATACTTAATTTAATTTTCTTATAGTTAAGTTATAAATTATTAAACTTATAATTTTATATTTGTTTGTTATTACATATTTGACACCATAACTCATTAACAACCTGGTTAATTAGACGGATACCCGATCAAAAATGATTCCAAAATTCTCTATTCCGAAATCCGAACTCATTAGGTCATTCTGGAATTATATTTTGTATTATTTAATTTAAAATTTAAATTGACATTTAGGTTAATTTAATCCCTATCCTCTAATAATTTCGTCCGATTGACATATTGACATATATAAATAATTATTTCTAATTAGATAAATTATTCATAATAATACTTCCATTTGGAATATTTATAAATTTGGTTCATTTAATGGCTATTCAAAGATTAGATTTTGAACCTGCTTCATGCCTCCTTTTTCTCCGGACATGACCCCACAAATTTAATCCAATCCAATTTACAAAGCCTTTCGCGTCCGCCCCTTTCTCTCTCTCCTCTTCGCGGACGCCAGACATAAATTTCAATTGAATTTAATCGACCAAAGTCGACGTCGTGGACTAACCGGCAACCGATTCAATCAGTCACCACCGTCTCTCACCTAAACCATCTAACCTATTCCCTTTTTACCGACAGCACCCGTCCCCACTCTCCACTAACTTTCCACATCTCATTTCACTTGCATTTGCATTTCATCCTCATTTCATTTTTTATACGTTACACACACAGAATCTGCTTCTAATTCTATCTCTACCCTTTCGTTTTCTCTCTCTACAATTTACTCACGCTCACCTTTCTCTCTCTACCTTCGCTTTCGTTGTTATTTAGATTATATACATATATTATATGTATATTTGTGGATATATATATCATAGGTTGTATCGACATCTTATGTATCTATCTGAATCAATCGTTTTCGAGTAAAAATGGAGTTGGAGGTAGCGATTCGCTTCCAGTTTTCGTCGCCATTATCTTCGATCTTAGTATAAGTTTTTCACTTTTTATACTCCCGTTTGGATCTGCGTGAAGATCTGCCGTTAGAGCTGGTTTACAAAGCTCGCCAAGGAATTTTATTGGTAAGTTTTTCCGATCCGGGTTTTAATGGATATATGTTTGTGTTTCTGATGTATGACGAGTTTGTTATCTTTCTACTCCTTTTGATTATCTGTTAGTTTTATGGATTAGTATGTAATTTTTGAATGTTTGACTTGAATCTAGCGATTGAAGATGCGATTTTTTTGGTAGTTGTTATAGGATTTTCATCGCAGTTAGATATGTAATTGGATGCTAAGATTCATAGATCATTTCTCATTGATTCTAATTTTTTTCCCCTTACTTTTGCCTTTCATACGATACTAAGTCTCTGTGTCTATTACCTAATTGATAAATTAATTTAAAAAAAAAATCTCATGTAGATCAACAAGAAACATTGATTAGGGAACCATAGTTATAAAAGATCGAATAAAGTTCTTAAAGTGATCAAGCTGATGTAATCTATGTCTTGAACGACACTCAAATAATATTAAAATGACGTTTAGAACCTAGAGACCGAACTATAGTAATTATTCATAATTGTAATTGACTTTATTTGAATATGTCTGGAAAGAACTCTTCAAATATATCTATATTCCATGATAAATTGTTTAAGGCCAAAACTAATTCAGGACATTACTAAAAGACAAAAAATGTATGAATTTGAGAGCTAAAAATGAAGGAATGATTTATAAACTTGATTTCCCCAATCCACAGTTACTTTTTTCTTGATTATCATTGGGCATTGAGTTTGGTGTTAGCCTGTTATATTCTTTTGATCATATTACATGAGCAAACAACTTTTTTGGCTAACATATTTGTTAAGTTATGAATCTACTTATTCTTCATTACATCTGATTTGTGTTTCTCACTTTCTTGATATGCAGAGGTTCCTTTAAAGAATGTGTAGTGGTCCTGAACCTAACAAATCTGCTTCATCATCATCATCATCATCCACCACATCAAATTCTAACAAAATGGTCATGAGTCCACTAACTGTGGAGACCGAAGATTCTTTTTCAAGCTTACTCGAATACGCAGCTAACAATGACTATGAAGCCTTCAAACGTTCAATTGAAAACGACCCATCAGCAATCGATGAAGTCGGAATGTGGTATGTTCGCAAAAAAGGATCAAAACAAATCGTCTTAGAACACCGAACTCCATTAATGGTCGCCTCCACTTATGGCAGCATAAACGTCTTGAAACTAATCATCTCACAACCCAAAGTCGATGTCAATTTCGCGTGTGGCCCCGACAAATTCACCGCTCTCCACTGTGCCGCCTCCGGCGGCTCCCCTGCCGCCATCGAAGGCGTCAAGTTACTCTTATCAGTCGGTGCTGACCCGAATCTTGAAGATGCCAATGGACATCGACCTGTTGATGTAATTGTTGTTCCCCCGAAGGTATCCGGTGTGAAAGCTTCCATTGAAGGACTTTTAATGAACAATGGTTTGACTTTGAGTTTGACCATGACTGGATCTTGGTCTCCTACAATGTCGTCATCGCCGGAAAACGGTTCCGGTTCCGGTTCTTGTTCTCCGGTGATGTCAAAGTTTGAAACTGAAATTCCGGTGAACTCGGAGAAAAAGGAATACCCGATTGACCCGTCTTTACCCGATATCAAAAACAGCATTTACTCAACCGATGAATTTCGTATGTTTTCTTTCAAAGTTCGACCGTGTTCACGCGCGTATTCCCATGACTGGACGGAATGTCCGTTTGTCCACCCTGGAGAAAACGCCCGCAGGCGGGACCCACGAAAGTACCATTACAGCTGTGTCCCGTGTCCCGATTTTAGAAAAGGCGCGTGTAGACGCGGTGACATGTGCGAATACGCGCACGGCGTATTCGAATGTTGGCTTCATCCCGCGCAATACCGGACACGGTTATGTAAAGATGGAACAAGTTGTGCGAGACGCGTTTGCTTTTTTGCTCATATGCCGGAGGAGCTTCGGCCGCTTTATGTCTCCACCGGGTCTGCAGTCCCGTCACCGCGGTCGGCTGCCGCCGGAGCTACTGTTATGGACATGGCGGCCGCCTTGAACCTCCTCCCGGGTTCGCCGTCTTCTATGTCGATGTCGATGTCGATGTCACCCACCGGAAACAGCCCCTGGCCTCAGCCGAATGTGCCCACCCTCCATCTTCCGGGAAGCAACCTGCAATCGAGCCGCCTGAGATCGTCGCTTTCCGCTAGGGACATCCCGCCGGAGGATTTAAGCTTGTTGCGGGATTTTGATTCTCAATTGCTGAATGAGTTTGCGTGTTTTTCTCAATCGCGGAGCTCTCGTTCGAGAACATCACTTGCTCCGGCGAATCTTGAAGATCTTTTCTCGTCGGAGATTGGTTCTTCTCCGCGATACTCCGACCAGGTGGCGGCGGGTGGTGGTGGTGGTGGTGGTGTGTTTTCGCCTTCACACAAATCAACGGTTCTCAACAGTGTGCTTTCTCCGATTAATACGAATAGTTTATTGCATTCTTCTTTCGGGGTGTCGTCTCCGGGAAGAATGTCGCCGAGAAGCATGGACCATTCTCCGATGGCGGCTGCCGCCAGGCTCTCAGCCTTTAACCACCGCGAACAGCTTCGCAGTCTAAGCTCCCGTGACTTCACCGGAACCGGATCTCCGGTGGGTCACAATACATCGTCTTCTTGGTCGAAGTGGGGGTCGCCCACCGGAAAAGTTGACTGGTCTGTGAACGGGGAGGAGTTTGGGAAACTAAAAAGGTCGTCTTCTTTTGAGCTCAAGAACAATGGCGGCGGTGGAGGAGGAGGAGGAGGTGGCACGGATGAGCCAGATTTGTCGTGGGTTCAATCGCTAGTGAAGGAATCACCACCTGAGATGATGAAAAACAAGGCGGCGTCACCACCACCGACTGGCGGTGGTGCGGCGGCACCACCATCCGGTGAGGATCATTCAGTATTAGGTGCTTGGCTTGAGCAGATGCAACTTGATCAGCTCGTAGCTTAAAAGCAAAAGAGATGGATTAAAAATTCATTGATCACTTAGAAATGTTGACATATATATTAAAAAAAAAAGTATATATTCTTTTGAGGCGTCGTTCATGAAGTGTTTTGGGGTGAAATTTTTATATATTCTTTTGGGGGTGGAAGGAAGGAAGGAAGGAAGGAAGGAAAGAAAGAACCATCAACATCAACTTTTGAAAAGCTTCTTGTTTGTTCTAATGGCGGAAAGAAAGACAGGGAAGAATGAGGAAGAAATGAAAGGCCTATATAAGTTATTGGTTATTTGTTTCTGTTTCCCTTTCTCTCTGTTATTTCATAATTCTAGTGATACATTTGTTTACTACAATTTTTATATGTTGAAACAATTTCAATTTTATTACTGTTGTTTCGTTTTGGGTTAAAAACCAAGCAAGTACTACTACTACTTACTAATTGGGGGTGTATTTTGTGCTGCTTGATTTGTCAATGGTGGTACAAATACTCTGCCTTTTGTTATGTAAAACATATAGCTATTATTTTATTTCGTTTTTTACATTCATATTCATATGCTTATTTGATTTTAAGTATTGGATACATTATCCCATCTTTTAATTTTATGCCCTAGTACTTTTGGCTTCTCGTGTATTAAATTAAATTCTGATATATCCAGTCTGTTGGATCTGGGTCAGATTGACGGTTTATAGAATTAAGTATTTATAGTAAGTTTAAAATGCCAAAATGAATGATTAAAAGCTCAATCATGATATTAGGAAATAAAATTTGGACTAGAACTAAAATGACAAATTCATGGTTGACAGAATCTAAATGATTTTTTGATTGATAAAAATGTCTATTTTATCTTTATGAACTTAAGATGAAGCAATTGATCATGAGCATGTAAAACAGTAAAAATACTGTCAAGCCAATCTCTTCTGTTAAAATCTAGGTTTTACTGACACAACAAAGATAAAAAAAAACAAGCCCACCCTCAAGCTGTTTCTTGGAGTGTCAACACAAGAGTCTGCAAAATGCAAATGCAAAAAAATAACAACAAAATTTAAGAATCAATCATGATCTAAATTGTAATATCCCAAGAAAACATGAATAAAAGAGACTTCATGAAGTCCTTCCCCACACCAATATAAGTTCATTGAGCTAAAAATCATGAAGTCCTTCCCCACACCAATATAAGTTCCTTAATATTTGTTTTAAGCTCATAGTAAAAACTGGTCACCAAAGAGGCTAAACCAACACTGCCACACATCCCACCAAAGCCCAATTTCTTTAATATTTTATTGGACGATTGCAATTTACACGCACAGAAAAAAGGAAAAAAAAAAAAGAAAAAAGAAAAAGAAAATGTGAATACATCAACCACGGCAAGTCAGGAACACAATTACAATCCTCAACATTATTCTTTTTCAAGAAAAGGTAACTATAAATTCTTATTAGTTATGGTTAATATATAATTTTTCTGTACTTTATGGTTAATAGTTATCATGGTTAGTTTCTTAATTTCTTATAGTCATAATGTTAATCATAAGAAAAAAAAAAAAAAACAATTGATTTTTTTTTTTCAAAACGAAAAAAAGATGTTTATGACCGAAAACTGGTCTTGTTAGTGACAATATTATTGAAGATATTTGTAATATATGCTCACAGTGTGAAAAAAATATTTATATGGAATACTCAATTAATATTGAACCTGAAAAAAAAATCAAATATAATATTGATTCTTCCAAAGATCGATGTTACTCCTGTTTAGAGGACGTTTTTTTAATCAATTTCTTAGTCAATTTTACAAACTATGTTATGCTAATCGAATATATAT